GAGTAGTTGTGTAATAACGTGTTTTCTTCTTTGGATAAGTCTTTGCCACCTTAAATCTACTCTTATCGACTTTGGCTTTTGAGTTTACGCCACTTTTGCTATAGGACACTGTAATGGCATCACTACTGGGATTGTGACTGGGATCACTGGGGACTGAAACATCGACGCTTTTAGTCACTGGCACAGTGATGTAAGGCATGGCTTTATTGGGCGTTGTGATATCCTCGACAAAACTGTTTTCAGTTGGTATTACGAGATCATCAAAAGTACTTAGTGTTGTTGTTCCAGCATTTGCACTGTCTTGATACCACGATTGAGTTTGATCTGTAGCTTCCATGCTATTACTGACATATGGGGCATTGATTCTTGATTTAGGGAAAAGGGAGATTATTGCTGTACCAGTAATGCTTGAAGAAATAGTAGAAGAAAGATCCTGTATTGGGTGCTCCCCACTTGAATATGGAGGGAAAGTAGTTATGTAATAATGTGTTTTCTTTTTTGGATAAGTCTTTACCACCTTAAATTTACTCTTGTTAACCTTGGGCTTTGTTAATACGTTTGTGCCACTTTTAGCGTAAGACACTGTGATGTCACCACCATCACGATTGTTGCTACTGGTAACTGAAACGTCAACGCTTTTAGTCACTGGGACATCTATGTAAGGCACGGCTTCCCTGGGCATTGTGACATCCTTGACCAAACTATTTTCAGTGGGAATTACGAGATCATCGAAAGTACTGAGTGTTGTTGGTCCAGTATTTGTGCTGTCATGGTACCACCATGGAGTTTCATTTGTAACTTCTATGTTATTAATGTTGTATGGCACATTGATTTTTGACTCAGGGAAAAGGAGGTTTATTGTTGTACAGGTAATGCTGGAAGAAATAGTAGAAAAAAAGTCCTCTGTTGGTGGTTGCTTGGTTGAAGGAGGAGTAGTTGTGTAATGATGTTTTTTCTTTTTTGGAAAAGTCTTTACCACCTTAAATATATTCTGATTAACTTTTGCCTGTGAGTTTAAGCCATTTTTGGGTGCTGGTTTTGGGTTCTTTGGTGGCTCGTGCTTTGTAACTTTTATCTTTGGTTCAGTTTTCTTTTGAGTATTGGACTTTGGTGGAGCATCTTTTTTAGGGGAAGGTTTAATTTTTTCCCCTGGAGTCTTTTTGGGGGGTTTATTTGCTGAAGTTGCCTTTTTGGGAGCAGTGCTTGATGAAGTAGTCTTTTTTACTGGAGTAGTGTTTGGTGGAGTAGTCTTTTTTGGAGACGTGATAGCAGGAATAATCTTTTTGAGGGTAGTGTTTGATGGAGTAGTCTTTTTGGGAGTATTGTTTGATGGGATAATCTTTTTGGGAGAAGATTTTGATGGAGTAGTCTTTTTCGGAGTAGTGCTCGATGGAGTAGTCTTTTTAAGAGTAGTTTTTACTGGAGTAGTCTTTTTGGGAGCATTGTTTGATGGAGTAATCTTTTTCGGAGTAGTGCT